TGGCCAAATATATGTTGTCCCTTCTATATTTCCCTCATATAGGACTATCTTTTCACCCCCTCAATTGCTGCCGGGGAAACTCTCATTTCAAGATAGGGCTTAACTGTCATCTCCTCTGCTATAGGGCATACTGGTATGTTGTCATTGGCTCTTGTATTTATTTCCATCTAACTCTGCATTAGACCATATGAACCCTGAGGGAACTGTTCATTTTGTGTTTCTAGATGTTTGTTGAATGAATTAGTGACTAGATGGGGAGGTTTCGTTTATATTTTGGGTTAGTTTGGGGCTCCCACAAGATTTTATTGTAATATCCGATGATAGTTCTCACAATAGAAACACAATTGTACAAGCACGATAATAAATTTGGATGAATTTGTTACTGAGCACCTAAGATTTTATACCAGGTGTCGTTAACTTACTTAGGCATAGAAAAGAGTTAGGAGTAGAGAATGTGGATAGCTTCAGACAGGACGGACTAAAATAAAACTAATCTGGGAATTCATTTATGAAAGGTGTTAAGAGTAACAAAAAGGTGTTAATCCTCTGTGTCAATATTATCTTCAGGAAAAGACCTTTGGTTCTAAGAAATGTAATGGCTCTGAGTTATTTATTTTCTTCCAGAAGGTAACCTCCACTGGACATTCTCAGTGATTTCATTTTAAAAAGGTGACCCTTCTTGAAAATAACTCCAAGTGGTGTTAGATACACACTTAAAATATCAAGAAATGGTACAAGGTATTACCAAGGCTCATTAAAATCCTAGCATTCAATGTCAACACTGTTTAACAGAACTTCCTTCAATGATAAAAATTCTGTATGTCTAAATCTTGCATTATGGTAGCCGCTAGCCACAGGTAATTATTAAGCCCTTGAAATGTGGTTACTGGGACAGAGAAATGGAATGTTTACCTTCATTAAATGCAAATATGCACATGTAATCAGTAGCTACCATGTTGGACAGTGCAAGCATATATTTTACTTGCCCTGGTGCTAATCAGGGTAGGCTAGGTTATCCTGCAGTAACAACCCCCAAATATTAGTGGCTTAAAGCACTAAAATTACATCTCTTTTTCCCACTACCTACCCATCATATGTCCTCTGGGGACTCTGCTCTACATCTCTCCATTCTGGGACCATCTTGAATGGTGCTGAGTCATTCTAACAGGGGTTAATGGTAAAATGATCTGGAGGGTCCTGTATAGGCAGTCAAGTGAATGCTTGGCCAAGAAGGGACACATACCACTTCCACTCACAATTCATGACCAGCACTAATCATATAGCCCTACCCACCCACCAGAAGGCCAGGAAGTGCAATCCAATTATGGCACCTGGAAGACAAGTATTAGGTGAGTAAGAATCACTAAAATTACTAAAATATCAAATTTGAACAAAATTAAATTATGTTTTTAAAAGTCAGGTGTATGTCATACAAAGGAGTCAACAAAAGCATGGAAGGAAAATCATATGTATGCACAAACACCAGGAAAGCTCCTTTTACAAAGTCAAGGAAGGAAGACTGGAATGATGTTTTGGTGTTTTTATATATAATTTTTATTAAGTTTTTAAATAAGCAAATTTATAAATTAAAGAAAAAGAAGGAAGCAAAGGCATAATTTATCTTCTATTATAATTAAAGAAGATAATTTTGACAATTCCCACTTTTTAAAAAATCCCTGTTTTACAATAAAACAAAGCTACCCATTCTTTTAACAAGAGGATCTTACTATAATTCCAAGTATAGTTTGTTAATATCTGTTCAAAAGTTATTATTAGACAATCTTGAAATTAGAGGGGACCTTAGCGATGAGCTAATCTAATCTCCAATATAAGGAGCCCTCCTACAGCCTTCCTCATCCTCTGGGTGCGGAGGAAGCCCGCTAACGTTAGGGATATCATTCCACTGGTGGACAGGTGAAATTTTTCAAGAACTTTTCCTGCTGTATCAAAAGTAGTATCTCTGAGCTTTCTATGTATTTGTCCTGGCTTCGCAGCCACCAGGTAGAGGGCCAACCCTCAACCCTCTAGAAAGATTTTCTCTGTCCCTTGGGTGTTCTCTACTGGGCTTTTCTTCCCTGGGCCTTGGTCCTCAAGGCCCTCTCTTCTCCTAGTAGCCCTTCTTGTAGCATAAAGTGCAGGGTTGGGGCTAGGGGTGCAAAAAGAGAGTCTGAGCATCAGACCTAATTATTTAAATTTGATTCTGTGTTCTTCTCTGTGAGGCAGGGAATAACCCTCACATACCTCTTAGTCTTAGAAAGATCTGTAAACTAACAGATGCACAAGAAATTCTTACTTCACTATGGTGTTTCTTTTAAAGTGTGATGGATAGAGTTAAACTTAATAATTTCAATGTGATCTCATTAGTAGAAAGTAATCTATTTCCCCTCTCTGAAAAAACTAACTTATTGCTTCTTTTAAATCACTTAAAAGTATTAGCATTATCCTTTGTAGACAGTCAAATGTGCTATTAATTTATATTGTCCTTAAAAGTTTCAATTTCCACTAAGTCACAGGCTTACTTAACTTGTTGACATTTTAAACCTTAAGTGTAAGACATTAAATCAGATGAAATTTGATTGGAATAAAGGTTGTACTGGCTAGTTGTAAATTAGTTATTTACTTGCTTTTTTTAACACTTTATTTTTTACAGCAATTTTAGGTTCAGAGAAATATTCAGCAGAAGTTACAGAGATTTTCCATATGCCCCTTGCCCCCACATACACAAAGCCTCCCCCATTATCAACATCCCCACCAGAATGTACATTTGTTACAGTTGTTGAACCTGCATTGACACATCATTACCACCCAAAGTTCATAAAGTACATTAAGATTCATTCCTGGTGTTGTACATTCTATGGGTTTGAACAAATCTATAATGACATGTACCCACCATTATAGTATCATACATAGTTACATTGCCCTGAAAATCCTCTTGTGCTGTTCATCATTCCCTCCTTCCTAACCCCTGTTGACCACTGTTCTTTTTAGTGTCTCCGTAATTTTGCCTTTTCCAGAATGTCATATAGTTGGCATCATATAGTTTGTAGCCTTTTCAGATTGCCTCCTTTTATTTAACAATAAGACATCTAAGTTTCTTCCATGTCTTTTCATGGCTTGATAGCTCATTTTTTTTAGCACTGAATAATATTCCATTGTCTGGATGTACCACAGTTTATTTATCCATTCACCTACTGAAGGACTTCTTGGTTGTTTCCAAGTTTGAGCTATTATGAATAGAGCTGCTATAAACATTAGTGTGTAGGTTTCTCTGTGGACATACATTTTCAACTCATTTTGGTAAACACCAAGGAGTGCCACTGCTGGATCATATGGTAAGAGTATGTTTAGTTTTGGAAGAAACCGCCAAACTGTCTTCCAAAGTAGCCGCACTATTCTGCATTGCCACCAGCATGCGTGAGAGGTCCTATTGTTCCGCACCTTCAGCCACATTTGGTGTTGTTGATGTTCTGGAATCTGGCCGTTCCAACAGGCGTGTGTTGGTACACATTAGCTTTTAGCAAGGTCTCAGTCTTTTGAATCATGATCCAATACTAAGTACCAGCTGCCTCTTCAAGAGTTGTATATTCTACAGATTTGGTAGTGTGTGATTACTGGAAAGATCATCGATACCAGAGACAGCCAGCCCTGAGCTTTGTACCTTAATTCTGGTGCACTACCATGGAGGAGTTATTTCACTTCTCTGAGCCTCAGCTCCTCCTTTCTAAAATGGAAGTAATAAATTAATAATAACGTACTTACTTCAATGAGTTGTATGAGTAAATTGTGTACTTTCTCTAATTTTATCCAAGTGATTAAACTATTCAACCAGAATGGAACTCAGGACTGAACCCTGTACCATGCTGGTATCAGCCTTTCTCTGGGTTGGATAATTGTTCTTGGAGCTCATATACCTGCCCCACCATCCAGCTCACAGTTTTGTATTTCAGGTATATCTGCACAGGCTTTGTCAAATGCCTTAGCAAAATCAAGCACTCACTAAGGTTGATTTCTTTGGACTATTTGTATACATTTTCCCTTCTTCCGTCTCAGATTTTGGGTGGATAGGCACTATTTTTTAATTCTCTCTTAATTAGTTCCTCCTTGTTCTTCTAAAACATATATAAAGTTCTTTGGTTTCTAGGCTACTACATTTCCTGAGTAGATGATCCTTTGACAACGTAATTTGAGTTTCCTTGGCTTCTTTCAGAAGGAATCATTGTAGAAAAATGATACATGTGTTAGCTGAGACAAATGTCTCATTTTTTTGAGGGTTATGTGTGCACACACATGCCTGTGTGTCTGATGGTGCAACGGGGCTTGAATTACGCCTTCGGAACTCTTTGCTCCTATCTTTCCACTCAGTATCTCTTCCATCAAATCAGAGCTTAGATTCCTCATCACTTTTGCCATCATCACAGACGATTAGGATTCAGTAAAAGGAGATAGCCTGAAATTTAATTCTAACCAGCAGCTCAATCCAAACTCCTAAAATCTGGCTGGGGTGGGGTGGTAATGTGTTCTGATAGCGGGTTAATGAAGGAAGAAGCGCCCCCCAGGAAATCATAACAAAGAGTCTTAAGCAAGTCCTTTTGTTGACAACTTTATCCAAGAAACTATCTTCTCTGGAGACTGTTTTAAACTTTAGACTAATCGTCTCCTTGCCACAGAAGTCCTTTTGTGGGGAGAGATGGTAACTGAACACAGGAATGACAGGCCTCTGTAAGCACAGGCTCTGCCCACAGATTCCTTCCGTTGTCAGTCTCCCATCTGTCCTGTCATCCTTCCTGCCCAGGGATCTACCAAATAAGGACATGGATGTAATTATTCAGAAGTCCTCTTCTCAGATAATTTCCATCGATGTCAAACTTTTGAGCCAATCACTGTGAAATTCTGGTCAAATGACAATAGCAATAATCTTCCATTGCTTTTTCTTCAAGTATTATGTAAGGTTGCTTTGGACATAATATTTAGAATACTGAAAATACTCCAGATCACAGGTGACGGTATAAAACCCCTGGTCCAGTGTGTAGTTAACTTCGAGGCTTCTCAGTAAGCTGAAGCAAATTAAAACTGAAACAGCAGTAATGTTGCCCTAGATGTAAATGAAGAATAAACAAAATCAAAATAATAAATGACATCATACAGACTGAGTAAGAAAAACCTGTTTAACATTATGGCAAAGTTATTGATAGAATCATATCTACGGATAGAAAAAAGGAAAAATAAATTAGAACAGAGGTGGCATCTTGCCCTGGTGATAAGAACTAAGTAAACTTTAAAAATAATCAAAATCTATCTCTGGATCTACAAAATGCAGTTGTACCACATCACCCTCCTGTGTTCAAAACACACCAAGCTTTGAAGTAATATGTGCAAAGTGCCTGGCACGTGGTATGCACCCAGGAAATTATAGTGTCCCTCTATTTCTCCACTGTAGACATCAGTACGCGTTTTTACCATACCTGAAACTGACATTTTGAGGATCTTTTAAGACTTAATGTTGAGGCGCTGCTGGCAGTTACACATCCTAATGTCCCAATTTACATTTTAAATCTCCTGAAAAGTGAATATTTTAACATTAATTCCATTTAGTGGGAAAGATTTACAGGCCCCAAGTGTCCGCTGATTACCACACTCATAGTCTCTCCAGCTCTGGCACTTCCAGATTTCACTGATCCCAAGCCATTTATTAAACGGTTTAATTGCTCTAGCTTGCCCCTTTTGTGGCTCATCTCCTACGGGTTTTATCTCCTTGCATTATTAGTACTGAGGGCCTAGGGACATCATGAGATTACTCTAGTAGAGGCTAAATCTGCCTCCTCCCTACTTCAATTGCTGGCACAGTCACCAATAACTGATTTTCTATTGTGACCAATTCACATCTACAGGTAACAATTCTTCATGAAAAGTCACTATTGATTAGAGAGGCCAGGTCTGGTTGCTAAATAGAACAACATAACAACAGTAGAAATGATAATAATGCTTCATGTAGCACTGCCATCTGAAACCATTTCCATCAAAGGCTTTGATAATTTTATGAAGCACAAATCCTTCACTTTATAGAATGTAGCTAAAGTAATTCTCTTCTCCTAACTAGTGGGTTTTAAAAATGGCATGATTGCACAGTAAAATCTCTGCTCTAGAAAATATTTTGCTTGGGGAATTCTATACTACTATATTGCCTGTTGTAATTCCAATTGTATGTATATTATCAAAATACAAACTTAGGTATTTCATAAAATGCTCTAAGAAATAATTATAATTCTAAGTTATAATTTCTAAATTTCTAAATACAGTGATCATAGAAGATCCAGAGAAGAGACTCCTTGATGTGTACATGTCTTTAAATATCAACAGCCAAAGAGAGGGCCATAACAAAGTGGCAAAGAGCTGAACCCTGCCCTGTGAACAAGGCTGGGGTGTGGGGGAGGTGTAGGGAGAATGCCAGTGGGGACCATCTGGGCCCCAAAAGTTCTGTTAGGAAGCACAGCCAAGCTGTGGTTGCCTAATGGGTGGCCAAGTCATAGTCTGATGTTTGTGGCTTGGGATACAGCCAAGGTCACCTAAAAAGTTGGCTGGCTGGCTCCATGTGTGGGTCCCACCTTGGTCTCCCTATTGAGATTACTTCCCCTCTGCCCACCACGGAAGGCCCAGTGTGAGAAGTGCTCTAGTAACATCCAGGGATGTCTGCACTATGGTAGCTTTTGGAGTTGTCCAACCTGGCTTCCCGTGCCTACCAGCAGAACTACCCTTAGGGTAGCTTTGGAGAAATCCTTCACAACACCTCTTCCTCCTCAAGATTACTTGGGGAGGCTGGGCTACCTGTGGTTGGTTGAGGAGACTCCTGAGAATAGCTGTGTCTGTGAGAGTGTGACTGGTGGAAGGCTCCTGCCTGTCCATCAGTCCCCTTTGGTTTTCTAGAACTCAGCCTGGGTGCAGAAGATACAGCCTAAGAAGCCTGTGGCAGTGATGACTTGGTTCTCATAGGCCTCTAAAACCATCTCCTGGGCAGGGCCAGACTCTGAACCAGGTCTTTCCTGACACCTGGAGGCAGGTCAGGTGGGAATTTGCACCACCACAGTGACCAAACATCTGGTTTACCTGGAACTGCACCAGTTTTAGCACTAAACATCCCACATTCCCAAGACAACCCTCAGTGTCAAGCAAATGGGAATGGCTGGTTACCCTGACCTCTGATTTTTGTCCATTGGCTGACAGAGGAAACTTTGTAGTTAAGGAAATACAGTTAAGACAGTGGTAATCTTTTATTCTACATGTCAGCTGAAGGCCTTGCAAAGACCTTCACATTTTGTCTTAGGAGCCTTACCACTCCTCTGGGAGTGGGACAGACAGGTGATGCACGTTGTCACCCTCTTTTCACAGCCTGAAGAGGCTAGGCGACCTGTCCCTAGGGTGGGAATGAAGAGCCAGATGCAGAACAGAGGTGCCTGGCAGCCTGCTGGCCTCAATCACTTTTCAGTTCTGTCCATAAGGAGCCTCTCTGTTGGAACTGCTTACCTGGAGGGAGATGGTGATGTCACCCTTTCTTTTCACCAGCATTTGCTGAACTGGGCTGGGTGGTGACCTTTTCGGTAGGAAGCCAAAAGGTCATACATTTCTGGCTTTAGTCTCACTCCTGAAACTGTAAACAAAGACTTCTCTATATGGAAAAAAGAAAAAAAAAAGAGGAAACCACCAACATGTTATTTCCTGGGATTTCACAGTATGCTTTTTATGTCTTTTTAATATTTGTCACCTGAAGAGATGCCAAAACATGAGCCATACTTACCCACCAATAATTTATACTTATTCATGGATAACTTGCTTTACTGAATCTACTAACATTTGTCAAGTGGCTCCTATTTAGTATAGTTCAGTTACCAAGTGGGCAGCTGGGTAAGGCATTATGCTAGGTGTTATAGACCATAAAATCAGGAACATAATAGGGAGACACACACACTAACAAAGATCAAAAGTGAGGTGCATGACAGCCCCTCTCCTGAGTCTATTGAGGAACACCGGAAAAGTATGGACAAGGACCCTTTGAGCCTTGAAGGATGGCTATGGCCATAGTCAAGGACTCGTAGGAAGGACATTCCCGGCTGAGGGATCGGTATGAGCAAAGGCATGGAGGAAGGAAAGTGTGTGAGAGAATTCCAAGTGAGACCCCGGCCAGGAAGCTCAGTTGCGGGGTGTCCAACACGCCGCCTACGGGCTGCATGTGGCCCAGGATGGCTATGAGTGCAGCCCAATACAACATTGTAAATGTACTTAAAACATTATGAGTTTTTTTTGTGATTATGTGTCACAATGTATTTAATGTGTGGCCCAAGACAACTCTTCTTCTTCCAGTGTGGCCCAGAGACGCCAAAAGTTTGGGTATCTTCAGTAGAGCTTCATTCCAACATACCAGTGTTGTGTGTTTGAATGCCAGTCAGAGCATATACAAGAATCAACCAATGAATGCATAGATAAAGAGAATAACAAATCTCTCTCTCAAAATCAATTAAAATTTTTTTTTTTTAATTAGAGAATTGCAAGTAATTGTGCATGGCTAGAGCAAGGCACACTAAACGACAACATTGGGAAAATGGGTTAGGACCAGATGGTGAAGGGAGTTACCAAGCCAAGGAGTCTGAACATCTGTGCCAGTGATGATAGGCAATGAGCACCACACTGGGCTAGGCGTGTTTAGGAAGGTTTCAAATCCTGTTACATTAGATGCATTAGGCAATCTATTTAAATAGATTCTAAGTGCAACTTTTGCAAATTAAAAAAAAGTTAATATATATTTTGTAATATATATGCATGTTACATTTGTCCTCTGATTCATGCATTTGGTTAGTTTAGAGTGCTGGCAGTTTATATTGTTATAAATGCCTGTGTTTGTTAAGTGTTGTTCCTGGGTGCTTCCTGTGCTGAATTATGAGCCAGGACCTCCAAAAGATAACATTTTAAGGGGCTTATCTGCAAAAACGGGGATAATAAAACTTCCTGGCAGACTGTGCTAAGCTTGAAGAAGATACATACAAAACATATTGGGGGGTTCTTGATACATGATACATTTTAGCTGGTAGTAGCAGTTGTTATAGCATCAGCATAGCCATCATCTGAGAAAAACAGCAAGAGGCAACAGCCACATTGTCACAAAGCATATCCAACACCTGCTTAGGACATCTTTCCACTTGGGCATTGCTCTGCCAGGTTCACAGAGAGCACAAACTTAGGATGCTTTAAATATTGCACAATTTATAAAAAGAGAAGCTTCTAGATTTAGTGCACCAAAAGCCTCAAATGCCTTAATAATATGGTTTGCTGGAAGCTGCTCACACCTGAAGGGAAGAAATAATCTTGCAATGTGAGCTCTGCCTCGCTCGGCCTAGACTTAGGCACTGAGTAATCTGTAGCCCTCACTCCTTGAGTTTGGAAGTACATATCCTCTAGGCTGGAAAGGGGAGACATCAAGTTTTGTTGATATGCATAATACATTTTCAGAGGTACATTATAATATGCAATTTTATATTCTACTCTCCTTTTAGCTCATGCCATAGCATAAACCTTCAAACAGCTAAAATAAACAGTGCAGAAGCTTCACAGATTACTCTCATAACAACTCAAGTCCAAACTATCTTGGAGACTTCCTTCAGGGAGCAGTGTCCTTCTGCCTTGGGGACAGTGGCATGAAGATATCCCTCAGGCTTCCTTGCCCCTCAAGCGCAGCAGCCCCTCAAAAGCAAGGAAACAGGGAGGAGAGAGAAGGGGAAAAGAGATGGAGTGAGGGGAAGATGAAGGGGTAAGGGAGAGATGGAAAAAGTATGGAGAGAAAGAGAGAGAGACAGAGACAGAGAGACACAGATGTTATCTGACAGAACAGTGCTGGGAAAGCAACCAGTTAACCAAAGGGATTCCAACCAATTTGGCCCTGGACTGCTCCGTTCTCCTTCCCAATTCATGAGGGGGAGAGGGAGAGAAAGAAAATAAAAGAAAGAAGAAAAGAGAGGAAAAGAAAGAAGGAAGAAAGCATCAGAGCAGTTCTCCTGCAGCAATCTCACAAATGCAAAACCTTCCATTCGGCTGACTCCTCATTAGCTTACTGAATCTGACAGCATAATTATCACAGCTGCTTCACGCTTAGAATAAATAAATACGAAAGTGAGTGTTTAAAAATTTTTGAGAAGGGATATTCAGTCATCTAGACAGTCAGTAGGACAAGTTTATTTAAAACTTTTAGATTCTTATGTATTTAGATCATTTCAGAACGAGATAATGAGATAGTTGTCTTTCAGTCTAATTGAGTTCCTAAGCTCCTGGCTGTTGGCTGTCACCCTTTCAAACTTTGCTTTAACTTTCCTTCCTTTAGAAATCTGATCCTGGTGTCTCCATTTACTCTTCCTGGGCTGAGAACCTGGTGAAGGCACAGTGCACTGGAGTGCGGAAAGTGACTTAATGGGACTGAGGAGCTAAGTAACCTTTCACAGGAAACAAGATAATCAAATCTCTTTTACTTGCTTGCAATGGCTAAAAGAGAAAGCACAGGTTAAAAAGAAAGCTTGGAAACTGAACCATCATTTCAAAAGGTCTTACAATTTCTCTTGTCACGTGCCTTTGGCACTACTCTTACACATCAGCAATCCATCAGCTGGAGTTGCTTAGTGAATTTAATTATTCAGAGTGCACACAGTCTCATGAGTACATGGTAATTTTAGCTCATGTGTATGCATATAAGTTTCATATCTTCAAAGCCCAAAGGATCACACAGCACTTTAAATTGAAGTTGCTAACTAACAAGGAGTGCACTTAAAACTCTGACTAGGAGCACAGCACATACACATTTCCAATTAAAGCAGATGATCTTTCCTTTTAAAATTAATTAGTGCCTATTTATCTTTTCCTCTTCTTTCCACCCCTCATTCCCCCAGGACCAAATTTATATGAACTGTTACATGTAGTGCATTAAAAGCTTTATAAAATAAATATTCTGTCAATCTGGGATAAAGGAAACTAGCATTAACCCATTGTGCAGGTTGAGAACTTGAGGTTTATGAAGGTCAACAATGCATCTTACATGAGGGAAAAAAGAAGACAACTTGGATCCTTTACCTCTCAGTCCAGAGCTCCGACTCCCTGTACCACTTGTCATACTTCATTATTTTAAACAATAGAGGCAATGCAACATCAGTATTGAAAGAAAAACTTTGAAAAAGGAAAAAAATTATCCACAATCCTTTCAATTTTTTTGATATGCATAATACATTTCACAGGTGCATCATAATATGGAATTTTGTACCCTGCTTCCTTTTAGCTCATGTCATAGCACAAACACTTCCATGGTACCACAGACTCCTGTGAATTATTTGAAATGATTACACGGTATCGTGTGCTGAGTTGGTATGCCAACATTTGCTCAAATGGTTCTCCAGTGTTGAATATTTAGATTGTTTCTTTTCTATTTTGATGTGCAGTCAAATGCTCTACCCCTGAGCTATACCTCCTCTTACTTTTTCTTTTTCTTTTGTAATTTTAAAAAAATTATAGACAACACTGTAATGAACATGTTATGCATCTAGGTTTATTTCTGTTCAATTGTTTCTTTGTATAATTTCCAAGAACTGAAGTAGAGGGTTGAAGGCTGTGAGCATTTGTGTGGCCCCTGATATATATCCCATAACACTTTGCAAAGATTTCTCCAACTGACGCCACCAGCAGCACAGAATTATTTTACCCCAACCTCACAAACACTGGGAGTCATTAGGTTAAAGAGAAAAAAAATAACTTATTTAACAGCTATTTGTATTTATTTATTCACTAGTAAGGCTATTTATTCCATGTGTTAATATGCTCTTTTCTCTCCTTTGCAAGAAATTGCTATTTTATGCCTTTGACCAATTTTCCATTGGATTCCTGATATGTTTTTTATAAAATTGAATGAATTATAGTGAAACAAAATATAAGCTGCCATGGATTAAGAAATGGGAAAACCCAAGGGGGACTGTGTGTTAAAGAAGAGAAGAACAGAAACTAAGACAACGGGTCAGGGGTCTCCATCAAACATAAAATGGAGCCCTCTGAATAGTGAGATATTACCTGGGGTCATGTGGAATCCTTCCTGGGAAGGCTTTAAAATAAACATAGGTAGTGTGTGAGACAGGGCAGAGGTCATGGGAGTGGGAATCAAAATCTTGGTTCCCATCTTCACTTTGTTACTAAGTTCCCATGTGATCTTCAGTGAGCAGCAGTGAGTAATGAGTGGCTTGGGAGTCTGAAATTAGATCATGGCTCTCCCACTTACTGGCTGTGTGACTTTGAGCAATTTACTTAGCCTCTCTCAGACTCAATTTTCTAATAGGTAAATGAGGATAATAACTCCAGCCTTGCCAGTTAGTGTATAGATTAAATAAGAATTTATGTAGGCCCTGACTGGAGTAGCTCAGTGGAGTGAGCATGGGCCTGCAAACCAAAGGGCTGCTGGTTCAATTCCCAGTCAGGGCACATACCTGGGTTACGGGCCAGATCCCCAGTAGGGGGCTCTCAAGAGGCAACCATACATTGATGTTTCTCTCCCTATCTTTCTCCTTCCCTTCCCCTCTGTCTAAAAATAAATAAATAAAATCTTAAAAAAAAAGAATTTATGTAAAGCACATGAATGTCCAATGAATGGCA